CCGATAAAACGTCTATATTAGAGTAAAGATTTACAAAACATGTCGGAACGCAGCATAACCTATTTATTTCAATCGCCATCGCTACAAAGCGGGTATAGCGCCATCTACGGTCACAAATTGTGATTCATTTTGGTTTATAAATTATTATTGCGATATACAGATGGCAATCGTTTCTATAATGTACGTCGATGGTTGCTCAATTAAGACTGACTTCTTCTTACTCACTCATTTGTGTCCTTTTTTTTGGTGAGCTACAGTGTCATTGACACTTTCATTTCTATTCTATCTATCTTTTCTAATCTAATCATTTCTAAACTACAGCTATCTATAGATTTTTAGCTCGCCTTGACATCGTCAAGATGAGCTATTGCCGTGGGGTGTCGTCCGTCAACATTTGGCTACGGTCAACGATAACTCAAGAACAGTTTAACCCACATGTTTCAAATTGCATATAGTTGTTACTCCTATGGGAGAGGTTTGAACGTCCTATTTTGGAGCATGCCAGTCGACCTACATTCGAGCCACGTCTACTTTTTGGCAAAAATGGAAATGGCCATAAGTCAGTTCAGGTTCAACGGATTTTGCTCATTTCTAGTATGTGAATGAATAAGGACTGGCACCAAAACATATCACACGGGTTTTGATATTTTTTTAAATCATGCAAATTAGGTAGATTTTGGCAATTTCACTATGCATTTTAGTGTCTGCCTACGGTCAACGATAAATCAAGAACCGTTTGACCCACATGTTTCAAATTGCATACAATTGTTACTTCTATGGGAGAGATTTGAACGTCCTATTTTGGAGCACGTCAGTCGACCTACTTTCGAGCCACGCCCACTTTTTGGCAAAAATGAAAATGGCCACCTAAATTCATTCGATTTTTAGCTCGCCTTGACATCGTCAAGATGAGCTATTGCCATGGGTCGTCGTCTGTCGTTTATCTGTCCGTCCGTCCGTCAACATTTGGCTACGGTCAACTCAGGAACCGTTTGACCCACATGTTTGAAATTGGGTATAGTTGTTACTGCTATGCTCCCATATTGAACGTCCTATTTTGGAGCACGCCAGTCGACCTACATTCGAGCCACGTCTACTTTTTGGCAAAAATGGAAATGGCCATAAGTCAGTTCAGGTTCAACGGATTTTGCTCATTTCTAGTATGTGAATGAATAAGGACTGGCACCAAAACATATCACACGGGTTTTGATATTTTTTAAATTATGCAAATTAGGTAGATTTTGGCAATTTCACTATGCATCTTTTCTAATCTAATCATTTCTAACTGACCCACATGTTTGAAATTGGGCATAGTTGTTACTGCTATGCTCCCATATTGAACGTCCTATTTTGGAGCACGCCAGTCGACGTACTTTTAAGCCACGGCAATTTTTTGGCAAAAATGGGAATTGCCATTAGTCAGTTCAGGTTCAACGGATTTTGCTCATTTTTGGTATGTGAATGAATAAAAAATAATAAAAGCCAGGGGTTTTGATATTTAAAAAAAAATTATGCAAATTAGGTAGGTTTTGGCAATTATATAGCATATTATGTTATAGACACGCAGATAACAGTGTGGTGTCACACTCGTCTGGATCTTTACGTTTAACTATTACGTTTATTTCGTTTAACTGGTTAACAACTCTACAATCATACCTATATATGTGTAATATTGTGTTTTAGATTCTTCGTTACAGTAATTTGACTGGTATATTTTATTGTTTTTATTTGCGCGATATTCGAAAACCAAAATGGAAATCATTCAGGAGTAGAGCCATCTCTCGTCAAGATTTCAGATATGAAACATTTATTTTCGCATCAAAACTTATGCATATATCATTATCAAGAGTATATAATGGGAGATATGCTATATAATGGGAGTTCTCCCATATATACTCTTGCTTTATATATCCCCTCTCCCTCTTCTATCACAGCCAAGGTGAGCTACAGTGTCATTGACACTTTCATTGAAATATTAATCAATAATAAGATGTACATATTCCAAATCGTGTGTTTGTTTCTGCAGCTTGGCATGGAATAGCTTCAGTGTGAGTGGAATGAAGCCATTTGCTGATGCGCTGAGTATCAACCAAACCCTCAAACATCTAGAGTATGTTTATACACATACATAGTTGAATCATAGCTAACTTAATTGTCTCCTGCAATAGTATGCAAATAATTAAGTATAAAATCAAATCTAAGATTTAAAAAAAGTCGAGAAAATTATCAAGAATTATAATAGATCTTTTTTTGAGTAATTGAAGTTGAGAAGAGTTTTTGGTAAAGTCGACTAAAGTACTCCTGATAGTATGATTATCAGAGTGGGTATTTGCTGATATGTGGTGTATCATGGATCCAACCGGTCCAGGTAACGAGAATCTGCTATGATTTGTGTAATATGAGCAGACAAAGGAAGCCTTTTTTGTACAGTATTAATGTGCGTTTTTTGATGCCACGTAACAGTTTGTCTGCTTGTGAGCTGAGTGACGAAGCACTGTGTTTACTGGCTGGATGTCTCCAGAACAATACTACCCTCAAAACACTGATGTAAGTATGTCACAAGCAAACTATAGTGAGTGATTCATGTGACGTCAGTTCACATGGATAGATTTAAGAATTGGCGTCAATAGCTTTGACACATGTCAATTAGCATATTTTGAAATCATGTTAAACGACTTTTAGCACTTCTTGTACTCGTTACTGCTAGATACCAATACTCAATACCAGTACATATTTATGCACGTCACTGCATTAATTAGCATACGTGACATGGTGGTTAGATAATCAATGCCATGTATAAACTCTCTAGTGGGTAGCCAGGGAAGCATGAAGTAACCATATTTCTAAAATAGTTTTGATGAGTCCAAGATTTTCAAGGGGTGTGTCTGAATTGAAAACGTTGGTTGATTGATGATTTGAACTTCCATCCTGTTCTGTGCTATACTGTGCTGTTTGTATTTAAATCGGAAAAAAAATTGGCATCTTTGCTTTTGCTTTTTACAGACAAATTTTTAGGAATTACACCTGCACAATTTTAGGTGTCAGTTGCATCAGTGTAGATGAATGTTGTTGTTGCACTAGGAGTTCAATGAGAAAGCATAATTAGAGTTATCTATGATAAGTATAGAAAACGCAGGTTTGTGCAGGTGTAAGTTGTTTGTTAAGTTGTAAGTTGACAGACAGTGGCAGATTTAGGCTAACGCTCCATTAGGAGTGTTCCCAACTTTGATATCATTAATGATTAATTATTGATAATCCTAACCCTAACCCTAACCCTAACCCTAACCCTAACCCTAACCTAAATGACATTAAACCACAACCTAATATATGACCATGACCATGACCATCAGGGGCGTACCCAGACATTTTTTTATGGTATGCAAAATTGCACTCAAATTTGTCAAAGTTGTTAGTTTTACTGAAATCCTTTCGACCATCTGGCGTAATGACACTAGTCATTATTCTTATCACACGCATAATTCTGTAAGCCCAACTGAACGTTATATTATTTTGTTTTTGTAAAAAGGTCATGTATTTTTTTATTCTGAAAAATTTTAGTACGCATTTGCGTACTTTGCATATAGGTAGCTACGCGTCTGACCATATATATATATATAAAAGTATATATATATTATTAAAGTTGGGAACACTCCTAATGGAGTATCACCCCAAGTTTAGGAAACCAGAATTCTCCCCTATCTCGAAAAGACAGTTTCAAATAACCTGGGTGTTTTCTTTCATGTTATAATCTACTGTTGGTGTTTCAGGCTCTTTAGAAACACTGAAATGACAACCGTAGCACTGGAATACTTGGCGTCCATGTTGAGAGTCAACAAGACACTTGAAACATTACTGTAAGTGAAGCTGAGAGGGTCTATGTCCCCCAGGGTACTGCCGGAATGTACCCTGGGTATAGTCCGGTATACCGGAACGTACCCTGGTACTATCTAATATGCCGGACCGTACCTCGCCTACTCCACTAACGAGTCTAGGGAGTCGCCGACGCCTACTCCCTAACCCTAACCCTAACCCTAACCCTAACCATATCAAATAGTTACCAGGGTACGTTCCGGCAGTACCCTGGGGGACATAGACCCTATGAGCGTAAGTGAAGCAAAACACATTTATCGATTCTATAGGCATGTAACTGGTACATAATTGGATATGCTGCACATAATTATGAATTGTGTACACTCTTCAACTTCTTCTAACTAAATAAACTGATGTGTTTTGCTTCAAGTGAAATGTGAGCACTACACGCATGTTTGTGTGACAAAACAGGTTATGTATTTTGTAGGCATGTACGTAATTGTGAATGCTGAGTGCATATATATAATTGCGTTCGGTGTTAGTTTCGCTAAAATCGATTACATGAAAAATCAACAATGCAGCAACCACAACACACTGGTGGATAAAACGTGAGATAATGCATAGTGTGGTATCTGTTTTCAGGGTTGATGCATACTCTGGGAAAAGTTCCTATGACATTACTGTGCTGACAAATTCTATGGAACAAGATCTAACAACGCTGGTGTACGTTTATTTTTTAAGGAATTTAATTGCAACGTGAAATAATTGGTTATATCATAATATAACTCAATGTTTGATTGTGTTTATTTGAAAATATAGAGTCACATTAAACATGTCGTTTTAAATATATTAACGTGAAAAAAATCGTGTTCCAATAATTGGTAATGATGACCAGCTGGGTTTTCGGCAATTTATTAATATGTGATTCTGTACTTTAGATTACGCTATGCAAAGCCTAGAGAAAATGGATTAGGACTCCATCTTACAGACTTGGATAATATTGCATCAAGTTTTCAAGTGAGAAACGTTCTTAAATGCTTAAGGTAGGTTATTATGAGTTTGACTGACAAAACAAAAATGATCATGTCTAAAATTATAATTAGAGGGATAGACCTAAAATTCAATTTAAAATGTTTTTAAGAAGGTTTAAAGAATAATTATATGGATGTAATTTTCATATCTATTGACTAGTTTGTTGTGCATAGTGCTGTCATAAACATATGTATTCTCACAGGCATCCTTATGAGGCTATATAGGTTCTGCTCATATAAAGAGATTGAGAATGTTCTGCAGGCAATTTTTGTGAATGCCTAATTATTTTTACAAATTATACAGTGTTCAAGAAACGGACGGAAAACTCGTACCTTTACAAGAACCTCAGGAAGTCGATATTTTGGCAAAACTAGAGTAAGTCCAGATTGATAATATATAGTTATAGAAACGGCTATTATAATTCAAATGTGCTTTTATTTCACAATAAGAACACAAAAACACATTGCTAAAACAATACTGAAAACTTTAAAGTGATTACGTCACCGTAAATAGTATAAAAAAAAAATCCCACTTTTCCACAAAATAGGCCTACAAGTAATTCTGTTCACTTTTTATGGTTAAATTGCTGCATTATACTTCTTATATTTTGTATATATATTGTTTGATGTGAACATACACTCGTGACTCATACATAGCCCATAGCAAGCAATTAATGTTAGGAACACTAATATCAAATCGTCCAGGTTTCTTGGATTTTAACTAGTTGAGAAACAATCTTATCAGGTAAGAATTTGACGATACGTTTAGTCCCGTTAGTTCTTACTTTTAATTTTAAAAAATGGCAACAAAATCTTTACAAATTTTACCATAGAAAATTCGTGACGTAGTCAATTTAATTAGCAGATAAATTTTGTGCATTTTTATAAGTACATAATTTTTGATCACAATTGTTTTTTCTGTATTTGTTTCAGTGACCGTAAGCTGTATTTTATAATTTTCACCTTCAAGCTATAGTAACAACACCCGTGGACATATACATGGAGTAATGCAATGGAAGATAAAGGCAGCTATACGGGTTTATATGGTAATATATATCAGGGTTCTCCAAGAGCACTTATAGCCTGGCGGCCCGCCAGGCTATCGTCAATATAATTTTTATTCTGTGCCAATCCTTTGCGTTTACTGGTGGTGTCAAGAATAAAGTCATTACAATGTATATGATTGTGTTGAGTGGTATTATAGGTTTTGTAAAAACTGCCCAGATCAGGTTACTTTTGTTATATGTGTGAAAGTGAGTTCTGTGATTTTAAATGTTATATCATGGTATGACTAATGATTTTAGTATGACACTAGCTCAATAAAGATTTTTACACTAGCTCAATAACGGTAATTACGAATTTGTTTTAAGAATCGATCACAATATGTGTGCGATATTTTTTTACTAGGTAACAATGTACATACCCAGATCTTCTAAGTAACTCGTTAGGTTAAAATTGTAAATTACAGAATTGGTGGCCTTTCTATACTGGTAGGTGGCCATTTTGATTTTACACCATGTGACGTACAATGTATATCACAGGGCGGATCCAGAGGGGAGTCGAGGGGGTCCGGACCCCCCCTTTTTACCACAAAAAAAGGAAAAAAGCATACACACGCACGCACGCGCGTGCACACACACACACACACACACACACACACACACACACACACACACACACACGCACACACACACACACACACACACACACAAACACACACACACACTTCTCTTATATTGTCTCCATAAAAAAATCTGTTAGCGCTAGTTTTCTGATCAAGATTTACTTATATATATATGTAAATTCGTTATAAAAACCTAGAAATGGGCAAAGAGGGGTCCGCAGCGTCCGGGGACCGGATCTGATAAATTACTGTTGCATTCCTAGACATCAAAATTACTGCTCAGATGCTCTCAGAATGCACCAATTTAAAAAAAAAAAAACCTCCCCCAAACCCCCCCCTAAGTCGCCTACGGCAGCTTTTTAAACACCAGAAAAAGTGAGCAGGAAAAAGTGCCCTTTATTTCTTCCTGGACACCCCGTTTTCAAAAATCCTGAATCCGCCCCTGAATTAATAATAATCATCACCCGCTATTTTTATTAGTATTATACTTTTTGTTGTGTCATTGCCTTTTTTCTGATGTGGAGTTGAGCACGATTGAGGAATACATATTTAGCTGGCCGCTTTGAGCAGGTGGCCTCTCTATACAGTGCGTATAACAGCATTTTTCGGCGGTGGAGCTTTTATTACCGCTATGAACAGGTGATCAGTCCGTACAGATGACTGTGAACACAGGTTTGGTTGTAAAGTTGTTGGTAATATTGGTTGAAGAATATGAATCGAGTTGTACATTTTGTTAAAAGGTAAAATGATAGATGTTGGTGCATGCAAAAATTGCAGCATGTTGTAATTTCTTGGCAAGATCAGCTGATATGTGGTACATTTATCATTAACAGGAGCACCACAAGTAGTTTGATAGTTTTTTTCTTTATGCGTGGTTAGATGTTATGTTTAACTTTTAATCGGTTTTATGTACAGACAAGTGTGTCGGTTGCATTTATAGTCTTAAAGTGATAAAACAAGTATTAATCCAGTACAGGGATGTCTTGTAGCACCTATACCCTATTGGTGTAAGTTCTACAACTTCCAAGAGCCTTTACACAAAATTCTAATTTCTTGCGTACAAAATGCGGTTTTTATTATGTACGATTTACTAAGTTTTAATCTCGTATATCAGTTTTCTTGGATGGCTAGATTGAATGGACTGTTATTGCGGTATTGCGGCATATTACATGTGTGAACTCATTCATGTGTGCATGTTCTACGCATAATAGCAGAGGTAAATCTCAAAGAGAATATTTACCCCTGCTAATATATATATAGATATGTCTTGAAATTTTGTAAAATAAATGAATTTCGAATGAAATATGTGGTCAGCATTCTCAATTCGTCAAACCATTCATTGATTTATTTACCATGTTGGGCGAAAACATTTATGGAAACGTTCAAACATTTATGCGCAATGCTGAAGCACGTGTCTTGATTTATGGTATGACTTGTATAAGTCAACCCTTTTGATTGCCAACTTTATCAACATTCGTACTACGCTGTCATTAATACTCTGTCTGCATTACAACACGTGTATTGGCCCAAACTGTTTCATAATGCAGATGTATAACACGTAGATGGCACGCTGTGGACACTGTTGTTTCAGAGTAGTTTCATATAGTTAACGGACTGTACATGTTATAGTTTATCGCTGCGTGTCATCAGGAGTGTCATGATATATATCATCTATATCATGACACTCCTGATTTTATCTATGTGCGCGTATTACAGTAATCCATTTGCGTAATTTATGCGCGTAATCGATTCTCCGTATTTCTATTTCCGCGTAATTTGTGTCTCTAGCTTTGATAAACCGTATCGGCGTAGGTGTGATAGCATTGTGGTGGCATGAGTTTGATAGCATTGTTGGGGGGCATAGGTGTGATAGCATTGTGGGGGCATATATATATGTGTGATAGCATTGTGGAGGCATAGGTGTGGGAGCAAACGATTAGCATTTTGTTTATCTGCCCACCCAATTCATGCAGAGAATACTATAACGTAATGCTATCACAGAAGATTCGCTAGAAAGGGGAAATCAGGGGAGTCAGAACTAGCGGAATGGTTTCTTACCTTTATTTGTTTCCGTCCAGGATTCCATGTCGGTTAGCATATGAACACGAACGCTCTAACACATTTATCTATCTATCTCTCTCTCTCTCTCTCTCTCTCTCTCTCTCTCTCTCTCTCTCTCTCTCTTCTCTCTCTCTCTCTCTCTCTTTCTCTCTCTCTCTCTAATATATATATATATAATATATATTATATATATATATATAATATACATAATATGTTAGTGCGCTCGCGCGCGCCCGTGCGTGCGTGCGTGCATGTATGTGCGTGCGTGTGTGTTCTGACACAAGTATGATAGCATTACTCGTAGAGATGTATATACAGTATAACTATAGCATTACTCTACCAACATGAGGAACACACAGAGGAAGATTATTTAAAGTCGGTTGTCAATTCTTTTATCAAATTTCCTACTTTATTTTTACAATTGATTTTCGAAGAGGTATTGGGGAATTTCCCGCTACCGCCCGTTACACGCTATTTCAATGCATTGTAATAAAAAGCTTTTACTATAGTTCCCTGGTCCAAATGATACTATAACTGTATTCAGTGTACACAAAATATATATAAGTAATAGTCCAAAAATATTGAGTATTAATGCAGAAGATACCGTGACGTCATTTGTTGCGGAATTCATATTCCAGATGGAGATCGTTTGCATGATATAACTGTTGAACCGATGACGCAGTCGCATACTACAGTCGATCGCGATCGAGAACCACAACGGAATTTCACACTACAGCGTTTGCGTTTGCCAAAGTTATTAAGACCACGTTTACCAAAATCATATGTCGCACGCAATTTATTTTATTGCATAAACGCGTTTAATACGTAGCTCCTCATGGCTCGTTCACATATGAATTTATCATATGTGAATATGATAAATTCACATATCCACCACATTACCACATTACCACAGTCTGTAAAGTTAGCAGCCCGGGTGATGCCAAATTGCGCCCCGTTCGTTATCCACTTCTTTCTCGCCAGGTGGCGTCTTGAAATTGAATCGCTGCAGAAGCAGCGTGATGAACAGGAACAGCTCCATGTCGGCGAGCTGTCGACCGAGGCACTGCCGACGACCTGCACGCTAAGTGTAATTTTTGTTAAATATTAAAATTAAATTATATTACATGTGATTTTGTTTTAAAATCTTGTCACGGTTCAGCCGCGACCGAACCGACTTATATGAGAAATGGCAGAAAGGCCTCGCGCTTGACGAATTTCCCGTCCTTGTCCAGCCAGCGGTCAGGATCGTACGCGTCCGCGTTATGCCAGTACTTGGGGTCACGATGCACAGACCACAGGTTTGCGATGATCATCGACTTGCGCGGGATATTGTAGCGGTGCCAGAACGTGTCCCGCAGCGGTGCGTGGGGCGGCCCGATGGCGGCAATGTTAGCGTGTCGCTGCATCTCCACGATCATGGCGTGTGTATAAGGGAGGCACCCGGCAGATAGATGCGATATGATATGACTACTAGGCACTTAGGATATGACTACTAGGCACTTAGGATATGACTACTAGGCACTTAGGATATGACTACTAGGCACTTAAAAAAAAAACCCTAACCCTAACTCTAACCCTAACCCTAAAAAAAAAAAATTAAATTAAATTAAAGTGCCTAGTAGTCATATCATATCGCATCTTTCTGCCAACACCCCACCATAAGGGAGGTTGTCGCGGTCCTTCCAAGATGGCCGCCGGTCATGTCCGATTACCTTGGTTATACATGATATGTATATACAACATGTACAGTTTTAATATAAACGTTATAGCAATGAATTATACGAGGCTTAACTAAGAATATACTGTTAAAGGTTGCGTTGATCTGCGTTAATTACTGCGTTGATCTCGACATGATATCACACACCACTTTTTTAAACTCCATATCTAATTTCCCTTAAATGACTCGGCGACTAACAGTATAGGCACAGTGATGAAGTGTAGGCATCCTGATTTTTTCCTCACATGTCAGCTTTGCTAGGTTCAATGCTACTCGACATTGCTTTAGCTTGCGGTCGTTGCAAAGACCCATGAACCATAATGAATCACGTGGTTACGAGAGGGTAACATTGTGACCCCATGCAGAAAGCAATGCGACCTGCCTTTGCTGTCGTTCAGAGAAAATGCGCGCTTGGCCTACATATTTGCTGTGCCATCCTGTATTATTATTATTATTATACTTATTATTAGTGTATTATTATTATACTGCAATTATTTCACCGACTGCACTGACCGCAATCCCCAAGACCTTGCCGCAAGCAAAATTCGAGAGCTATGCCTAGCATGGAGACAATGCAAATTATACGCGCATAAGTACCGTATCGATCTCCTGTTGCTCCTTTCTCTGCACGTCTGGATATTTCAGCAGGTATAGGAACAACCAGCCGAGGCTGGTCGCTGTCGTCTCCGTCCCACCGTTAAATAAGTTGGCCAATATTTGGAACAGGTGACTATCGCTGACTGCAAGAGAAAAAACAATACCGACGGTCACCGAAACGTTGTAATATCTATCACTTATAGTCAAAGATGACGGACAGTTGCATGAAAGGTTTCCCGCAAGAAAAGTGCACTGCAAGTAGTTCGCTCGTGCGCGCGTGTGCGCGTACGCGCGCGTGTGTGTATAGTACATACAGCTGTCCAGCTCAACGCCCTTGGCAATAGTCACATCGCTATCCTTATGTGCGCTCTCATGCGCTGCCAATAAGTAGTAGTCCACAAAGTCTCGTATGTTTTCAGGGTCGAACGTCGATCTGTGTTCATCGATCACCTACGATGGAAGCGCTTATTTATTATAGACAAAAATTTAACGAACGTCCTTTATATCTCCTGTTTATATATATATATATATATATATATATATATATATATATA